TTTTTTTAAACTTAAAAAAAAAAAGCTATTTGCAAATGTACAATTGATGCATGATATGCATTGATGCAACGATGGATTTATGCATGAGAGTGTAAGGTGAAGCAAGCTAATTTTTCATATATGCATGATCTTAAAAATAAAATCTAGAAATAATGAATTTTCATAAATTTCTAAAAATAATGAATAATAATAATATTTTTACAACCTTTTTTTTAAATGCAAAATTTAAAAAAAAAAAAACATGAAAGATATAAATATTTAGACAAACATAAAAATAATTTAAATTAAATGAAAAAATAAAAGGCTATTTTTGTGTGAAATTTTTGTTTAAATTTTGGTAATAATATATAACCATTTTATTATTTGTCAAAAAGAAAGATGTTTCTTCACACATCATAATTTTGATATTTTCTACGAAAAGGTTTAACATGGCTTTACCCTAGACTAGGCTTGTAACATTTACTATATGCGAGGTTGGGATTTATAAATCTAAAAGTTTTCAAATTGTTCCTTTTATCATCGTTCATTATAGACTAGTAAGACACATCGATTTCTCACCTGTGACAGGCTACAAAAAAAAAAGGTTCAATTCGAGTGAAAGTATTTTGCTTACCATTGTGGAGGTTATTACCTCACGAAAGCATAAGTACTTTACTTCGTCCTATAAGAGATAAAGCTCAGGTATAGAGCTTATGCATGAAGTGTAACATGTCATCATGTGTGCAAGTGCCTCCTAATTTATTAAGGATAATATATACAAAATAAATAAATAAATAATGAACAAGTGGCACAATAAAAATGTAATGCAATTAATTATTATTATTATTATTATTATTATTATTATTATTATCAGTCATTGAAAAAAAACAAAATTAAAATAAAGAAACTTAAGGTTAAATACCAATTATGATTGTTAAATCAAAATTAAGAATAACTCATAATTAATTTTTAACTTGACTCTCAAGAAAAATCTTCCCCAACAAAGTCATCAAGCTGTCATAATAGTTTTAGGACCACTAGATAAATTTAAAAACAAATGAAATCGTCACCAATCTTTTTTTAACTATATGCGATTAATCATCTATTAAAACTTTACTTCTTAATAAAATTTTGAAATTAATTAAAATTTATTTAAAAGATAATTTTTAGCTCTACAAAAAAAGTTTGAATTCTAGAGTTAGTTACGCATGAGAAAAGATTAGCACCCCCACAATTCCTGTTAAAAAACAATATCAATTAATTATGTATTATCCTTCAATTTTAACAAAAAGGTCTTAATTTTGGTATTTAAAAAATAACTCCTTTGGTTATCTTTATTAATTTATTTTCATATCCATTTTTGTTATTTCACCTTTTTTTCTTTTTTATTATTTTATTTTTAAAAAAATTAATCCTTTTTATTTAAGAAAAATAAATTAGAACCTTGTTATCGAGAAAATTCTCAAAATTTTCTAGTACGTTAATAACATTGAAAGAATTTTTTTTATCTAAGGATTTCATAAGAATTACTACTTGAATTTTTTTATAATCTCATCCATAGATACTTGTATCTATTTTCAAAAATAAGGATATATATACAATGCAAATGATAAAATATTGATGCATATGTATTAATTTTCCAAAAAAATTGTTGGTTTTTTTTTTACACACATATTTATAGAAGAAAAGAAAATTTTTTATTATATTGAAAATTTTTATAAATACTCTAATACATGGTTACATTTTAAAAAAAAATTTTCCCTTAAAGATTTTTTATGTATCACTATTTGGATTATCTTAAGATCTCATCATTGGATAAAAAATTTTTTTCTACCATTTTTTATTACTTTCATTTTTTTTCATTTTTCATTTTATTTTTAAAGAGAATTTTAATTTTAATTTTTTAATGAAATTTAAACTTTATTTTTATTAAAAATAATTATTTTGGAACATATATAAAAAAGGTACTAAAAAATAGTAAATAAAGTAAATAAATAAAAATTCAAAAAAATAAAAAATACTTGAATCACACCGATCAATGTTTGATCATCAGTTTGGAGCGATTCAACAGTTCAGGAGCGATTCCATGAGGTTTAAGCCATTGGATTGGTTCACTGCTGGTTCGTCTGGATGGGTCTAGGCCTTAAAGCTAATGTGGGTGGTCGGGTCAAGCCTGTGGACCCCAAGTTTAGTGGTTGAGTTGCACATAGATCCTTAGGCTCCCTAAACGGTGTCATTTTGAACTTTCCTTTTTTTTTTAATAAACTTAACCTTTTTTTAATTATTTCATCATTCTTCTTTAAAAAAAAAATCCAGAGCAGTAAAAAAAATCACTAGGTCTTTGCCACACACCAAAAATTCAGCATCCTACCATCGTGTCGATCATCGATCACCACCTCCGGTGGTCAGAATCCACCCAAAGAACACCAAAATAATTCTCCAACCTTCCTCATCCTTGTTTTGGTCTTTTTTCAACCTGAAACTGCACAGTCTTCCTAAATCGGCATTCAAAGTTTCGGCCAATCTTTTTTTTTTTTGCTTACTTTTTTTTTTTTATGTATTAGCACTGGATCCTTGTTCCAAAGGCTGTGATGATTTTTTTTTTTTTGGTTTTTTTTTTATGATTGTTGGTAGTTTGTGAATATCAAGGTTTGCTTGGTAATGGGTGAACTAGTGGGGGGATTTTTTTTTTAGTGGTGGTAGTAAGCTAGGCTCAGTTAGGATATGGCAATAATGGGGGTCTAGTCTTAGCATTGGCAGTATGTTTTAGCAGTGCTTTGTTTCGATGGGAAAAGGTTAGGTTAAATTAGGATTTGGTAGTGCTTCGTGTAAATTGGTTGTGATCGGTTTTGATTTTAGGTAAAGCTTTGGGTCGATATTGGTTCAGTTGTGATTGGGATTGGGTTGGAGTCGTGATCTAAGCAGAGCAAGGAAATATCCTTATGTTCCTAAAAATCCCCCATTGTGTTCGTCTTTTTACTATCTTATAAAGGGTTTTGAGATTCATGGAATGACTCAAAAGATAGGCAAAGAACCAGAGGAAAAATGGGAGAGGTAAGGTAGCTAGCAGTTGAAATTCTATTGCTGGTAGTTGAAATTTAGTTGTAAAGGTGGGTGTGGGATGGCTACTGATGGGGGTTGACAGAGTAGGTGCTAAGGTGGCTTGGGCTCAATAAGGGCTGCTCAGCAGGGCTAGAAAGGGATTGAGCACCTGAAGAAGCTCGTGGGTATATGTGGTAGAAGCTTAGTTCTTGTCGTGTAAGGCACCAAGTTGTAGGTTTTTTATTTTTTATTTTTGGAGATTAATTTTTAATTGAAAGTAAAAAGTTTTGAATAAAATAACAATTAACTTAGACAAAATTAAATGTTTATAGTTGTGTTAATATCTAGTAGATTTAAATTTTAAATTTTAAATTTTAAGACTTACAATCTCCTTTTTTTAATTTTTAAACTATGATTTCTTTTATAAAAAATCATTAAAAAATTAAAATTTTATTATTGGTTCATTTTCAAGAAAGATTTTCGAATTCATTTGTATTTTAAATAAAAGGATTGCATGCATTTAATATTGAGTCAAATGTCTGGTATTGGTAAATTGAAACTTTATTACTGTACTGTATAGGATTTTCTTTACAAATTTTCTAACGAGTCCGAATAAAAAAGGGAAAATGTTATGAATTATGATAGATTGCATTCTCCGGTTAAAACAGCTAGCAGGCTAGCACAGTGATTTGCTGGCTTTTTAATTAATTGGTAAGTAAAGTTGGATTATTATGAAGAATTAATTTCCAATAAGAAACGATATGGGCCATGGCTTATATTCTACACCATGTGCAATAATACAGCCAGCTGACCTATGTTTATCAACAATTTATTGTCATCAACGTCGGCAACTCACCGACACTCAAGACAATTACCAATTGTCCTTTGGATTTACCAAGCAACTGCCCATTTTTCTTTATCTCTTCTGGATCTAATAACTGAATTTCTGCTCTTTCTTTAATGAAGTCAAGTTATCTTTGGAGTATCTTGAAAAAGTTTTTCAAAACAAGCGGTTTCTCCTGCAACATAAACTAAATTTTGGTTTTGATTTTTGGTGGTCTTGTTTTCCTCTCGAAAAGGTAGTAATAATTTGGAATATCGAAGTCGGACGGTGTCTGCATCTTAAAGATAGTCGGGAGAGAAATTTTTTTTATTATGCTATTAAAATTTTAATTTTAATTTTTCGAATTAAAAATTTAATATTTTATCGCATAATATTTAATAAATTAAAAAAATTAAATTTAAAAAAATTATCTTTTTATGTATTCAGAATGAATTATTTCAAATCAGATTTATTATAAATCTCGATTGTTATTTACATATATAAAAATTGTTGATAGTTGAATTAAACCTAAATTTTATAAAAAAAAAATTCAGTGTTTACCAATTCAATCAATCCTGTTTTCATACTACTTTTAGCTTTATTTCCCAAATACAAATAAAAAATTAGTATTCCAATTAAGTAGAAACTGCTCTAAATCTTTTGGCAAAGACGTTTGAAGGTCATTGAGTTGACCTGCAAAGGCTTAGATCAAACGGTGTTTATACCGATTTCTGAACCTCGAACTGGTTGTTTCCCCCGTTCATGTCCGTTCCACCTAAGTTTACAGTTAAGGATGATAGTGAAGTTGAAACCTTTAATTTGTTACCATTAAGATAAGGATTCAATTAATTAAATAATAACAATTTATTAATGAGTTAAATTGTATGATAATATCGAATAAATTTTTTAAAATATTTTAAATTTTATACTTTTATTTTAAACATTAATATTTATTTATTGATTAATTAATATTATTTAATTTACTAATAATATATAAAATTTATATACTACGATACATCAAATATAAATTCTTTTTCAATTTACATATAATTATAAAAGACAAAACCTCAAGTTTCACCTAGCTGTCAAAGCCAATTTTAACTTGTCCACCAAACTTTCCTAACCAGTACTGCAACCGTGCCCGACTCCTTGTACCATGGATGAAGAAGGTCGCCATGGGTTCCGATTTAGCCCCATTCTCGTCGGCCTTCTAGGAATCATTGCCGGGGCCATCATGGCTGCAATTTATCCTTTAGTTTATTCTGTTCGCAGTTACTACCGCAGGCAGATGGTAGACACTGGCAATACTAGCCAAAATGTTCATCACAATCAACAGGAAAGGCCTAGTAACAGAAGCAGAAGTACTTCAATACCCAGGTTAATTCCAATATTTAGATACAACAAAGATTGCAATGAAGACATGTGTGCCGTTTGCTTGGGTGATTTCAAGGAAGGTGAGCTTATTCGGGTATTGCCAGACTGCTTGCACTTTTTCCATGTGGCATGTATTGATACATGGCTAAATTTGCAGTCGAATTGCCCGCTTTGTCGCGCTGATACTTCTTCACCTCCAGAGCAGGCGGCCGTTCTTTGACGGATTCTAGCAGAACAGTATCAACTCTGGAACTTAATAGATTGCCGGATTTTGGGGGTGTAATTTTCGAAATGATGAAAGGGATGGCTATACTCTTCATTGATGATTGTTTATTTGTTTGGAAGTGACTCAAAGCAAGAAAATGCGTAGTGAATGAGAAAACTTAGATGCATTCGTCAATGTCAAAAAGATGTACATAGCATCTTTTTTTTTAATGCCTTTGGTCCCTGTCATCGCCCTCAATCCACCCTTATTTTCTTTCCATCTTCCTTCTCTAGGATAATCATTTTTCAAACGTCAAACCCTTAAATGACGAAACTTAAGAACAGTTTTTAGTGCTCCTCTCTCCTCTGATTTCATCACAATTGTGTGTCAGGTTCCAACACTAAGTATCCTTCGTTATATATAAAAATCATCCCAAGAAGGATGAAAAAGAATATTAGCAAGCTTCCAAGGTTTGGAAGCCTGCTTTAAATTGGGCTTGATCAGGCCATTACAGTAAGGTCCTGGGTCAAGAACTTTTGTGTGCTTATATTAATTTGTGCCTCTGTTTTTGAAAGTACTAGATTAATCCTAGTCTCGACTTTGCTTCAATCAAAAGTATAAGACGGACTAAATGGGTCAAAAATCAACTACTTTCAATACTTTTTTGCTTAAAACGAAAAACATAAACCGGTAACATGCGTTGCATTTCATGATGTTACGTGAATTTTGTCCCCACAAACCTACATTTTCCAATCAATTATTGCTTTTGAAAATTATCGAAAAATATACATCACCACTGCCACCCACCGCACCATTTTCTTTTCTTCCCTTACCTGCTCAAATAAAAACAAAAAACCTCAATTTTTAGTCTTATACCAATTACCATCGTTTTTTTCCACCTTATCATGGAGAACTCACCAACCGTTATCAGGCCACCACCACCACCACCACCACCAAAACAACCGCCGCCCTTTGCATCACCACCATCTTCCCAGCCTGATAACAACAATAACAGTATCAGGTCACCTCCGCCGTTACCTTCCTCTTCATCACCTCAAATATACCCTATAGACCAAAACGGTATAGTGACAATCAATCAACCTACACCTTTCCTTGATTCACCAAGAAGCGTTGATTTTTCCCCCCTTGAATTCATTCTTGCCCTTGTTGCTGTTATAACAATCCCTGCTATAGTCTATGCTTTCTTTTTTGCTGTCAAGTGCCCTCCATGGTCTTCCAGGGAACGTCAGGACAGCCCAAGGGAACTTTCCAGGGACAACAGTGGAAGTGGTGTTGAAGTAATAGAGAGGAGCAGGGAGCCTGTTTCAGGTGTTAAGTACCAAAAAGAGACTCATTCTAAAGATATTGGAAGTGAGTGTCCTGTTTGTTTATCAGTTTTTGCTGATGGTGAAGAAGTAAGGCAGTTGAGTGGATGCAAGCACTCGTTTCATGCTACTTGCATTGATTTGTGGCTTAACAATCATAACAATTGTCCAATTTGCCGGGCTTCTGTTACCGTAAAGAGGCCAAATAATAATCGTAAGGGGCCGTCTGGTTCAGCTAGAGATAGTGATCTCCAACAAGGTTTGCCTGATGCAGCCAGTTTGGTTTGAATGTCTAGTTTAATTTTCTTGATTTTTTCCCCTTTCTTGCCTAAATTTCCTTTTTCCCTTTTGCCCTTCTGAGGCTATGTGGAAAGTGAGAAATGGCAAATGGAAGATTTGGTATTCAATGCTTCACCAAGAATTGGTAGTACTCTTGAATCCTGATAGCATAGAGATTAGCCTTCATTTTTTTTTTTTCTTTTGGGTTAATTTCCTCTGAGGAATTCATGGCAATTAAGAGCTAGAGTTTGATCAAAAGTTTTGTGTTATGGATCCTTCTTGTCATAGCTTGAACTCTTCAGAATTCAGATAGAAACTTAAGTAATTTGGATCCTGATTCGCAGGGTCAAGATTGAGTTACATTTACTATTATTTTCTGTGAATCTGCTCGGAGAAGAACTTAACAGAGGTCATAAATGGAAGAAATCCTTATTTTTCCTTTTAGGGCGACCTTTTGTTCATGATTGTGAATAGCTTCAGCAATTGTTTGTCTCATCCTTGGATTAGTATGCTTTTGGATTAGTAACCTGGACAATTAATATTCTTTTTGGTTCTTTGACACTCATGCTTGGTCTAATATGCTTTGCCAATTGACACATTTACTCCAGAATAGGGCCGAAATTCAAATCCTCCTTCCATAACCATCCCAAAAAACAGAAGTATTGGTTGTCCATGTTTGTGTAGCAACCGGCAGGAGCCTTCTGATTTGTGTATACCAAAATTTCCTCTACTTGCTAATGCAAAGTTTGAATTTTTTCAGATGAAACCAATTGCTGAAAAACTTGTCCCTAGAAAGAAACCGCAAAAAGCAGTTATTTAGCCTGATACTATGGATCCGTCTTTATCTCTGCTGGAAAATACAAGAGGAACAAGAAGAACAAACAAAAATTAGGACAGCTTGTATAGCTTTTCAAGCACCCTGGAGATTGGCAGAAACATGAGTTCTTGCTCGAAGCATTCAATCGCTCATGGCATTTTCCTTGACGTTTCATTTTTTTTTTTTATGGCAATAGCACCATACCTCCAAAATCCAAATTCAATGCCATGATCATCACTTTGACTCCTACACAATGACTTTGGATTATAGCAAAGCTGTCGAGCTAAAATAACTTATCTCTAGCACATCTATCAATGAGGTCTTTATCTGTTGATTTCAAGCTTGGTTACCCAGAAGTCTAGTTGATCAGCAACACATGCTACACCTGTGGAACCATATGAACTGAATTTCTTGACTGCATTTTCTACCCCAAGAAACTCGTACACATCATTATCAAATACAGGATTTAGGCTTCTCAAGTCCTCTAGATTCAGGTCCTGAGGCTGGCAGTTCTTCGAAACACATAATGCAACAGACCGTCCAACTATATCATGAGAAGTTCTAAAAGGAACCCCCTGCAGAGGTAAAAAAATGGGTAATATAGATTTTATTGTTTTCAAAAAGAAAGACAAGCACAAAGGAAAAAAATAAAAGAAACAGAAATGAAGCAGTTATATTAAGTAACTGAGAGACACTATCTTTACCAAAAAAAAACAAATATAAAATAACTAGCCTTTTTAACCAGGTAATCAGCAAGCGTTGTGGCATCAAGATAGCCTGCTGGTAAAGCCTTTTGTATTCTTTCCTTATTGAAGGTAATATTGTGAGCAAACTCTAACACTTCAAGCATGCCTATAATGGTCCTGGTGCTATCAAACATAGGTTCCTTATCCTCCTGTTTCAACAGGTAAAAGAAAGGAAAATAGAATGCCTCTTTAAGTACTACAAGGATATAAAGAAAATACAAGAAAAAAGCTCAAATAGATAAGGGCTCAAACAGCTGTTAGTACCCTTACAAGATCAAATTAAACACCAACATGAAACCATAACATCGATGGATGGTGAAATGTTCATGGAGTCCATAAAATGGATATACTGAAATAACCACATCATTAAGTAAATAAAATAAGTTTCTACCTGCAAATCACGATTATAAGCAAGAGGAAGTCCTTTGCACAATGTGAGAAGGGTAACCAGGTCTCCAATCACTCTAGCAGACTTTCATCGAACAAGTTCCATTGGATCTGAATTTTGCTTTTAAGGCATTATGCTACTTCCAGAGGAAACAGAGTCATTTGGTGTGTTGAATCCAAACTCCTCTGAAGCCCACTATACCCATTCTTCACCAAGCCGAGAAAGATGAACTGCTATGATGGAATTAGCAGAAAGAAACTCTTAAGACAAAATCTCGATCTGAAACAGCATCAATAAAAAAAAAAAAAGCGGCCCAGTGCGTAAAGGTCCCACTATGCGCAGTTCGGGGGAGGTCGGATCCACTGGGTCTAATGTACGCAGCCTTACCTTGCATTTTCACAAGAGGCTGTTTCCGGGACCTCCAGGTCACATGGCAGCAACCTTACCATTGCACCAAGGCTCACCTCCCTGAAATTACATCAATACTGTTTAAAAATAGTGAAATGCAACTATGTTGAAAGAAGCCTGATATCAAGATCTAATGAAACATTATAATTAAAATGGAGATCTAGGGTAGACAAAATCCTATGGAAAGAGTAACAACCCTTCATGCTACAAGACATTAACAGAGACAACTCATACAACGGTCATGCACGACATTCCAGAAACTGAAATATGACGACTGTTTCAGCACATACCTGTGCCTCATAGGAGCAGTGAATCCCAAAGTATCAGAAGTCATAAACCTATATCAACTGGTAAGCCAGTACCGGCTAGTGCACATTGCACCTAGAGGACAGAAATTCAACCTAGCTCTGCAATCTAGTAAACAGCCAACATCACGGTCTAGCTACAATAAAAAAGGCTTAGATTGAGATTCTGGATGCAAATTTATAAAAGATACAAGACACTTGTGTAAACCCAACAAGATAATTTGTTCCTTATGCAAGCTAAGACACCATCATGTAAATGTATACAAATTTGAATTTACCATCTGCAGTTATTGTACATAAGAAATACTTTTTTCTTTCTTTAATAGAAAAAGGCTTGGTCTTCCTAGCGATAAAACCATAATTGATTTGTCCATAAGTTGATAAGCACATCATATTTTGTGGATTCCTATATTCAAAGACTTCTAATATTATATTGACTTGATCATAATCGCTAACCACTTATAATCACAAACTGTAGGTTTACCAATTCTCCAATATTTCCTGTTTTCATTTACGCTTCGAGAGCCAAGCTGCCTACCATCCATGTCTTTTGCTTTCAAATTTTAGTCCTTTTTCTCTTATAAATGTTTAATTAGATAAGCTTCTTTCTAAGTTCTAACAATATGAGAAATTCAAAATTTTCCAATCAACCAATAAAGCAACAACTTTATTTTGCCAAATAGATATATGAATGTTCAATTTCATCTAAACTAGTGTATAAATGAAATTATTCAAACATGCTCCACATATGCTAAAAGAAGACGTTGTAGTAAAACAGGTTGTGCCCTCTGTAAATGTGTATATCCAGGAATGATCAAACCCTCATTAGTTAGAGCCAATTTCACAAAAGCAACCTGGATATGTCTAATGCTAGCAATAATCCTGTCTATAGCATCATGGCACCACATGCGAATCAGTCAAAACTGGATCATTTCAGCTTCGGGCATCGTGGACCTTCTTTGCAGGCTCACCGATCATATCTGTTAATGCAGCTTCAATATTCATGTGGACATCCTCCCTAGTAGTTCACCACACAAATTCACCAGCTTCGGTGCGTCTCTCTATTTCATCTAGACCTAGCAAAATACTATCTCTGTCACTTACACTAATCAACCCCTACAAACAAAAATAGGAAAAATAACATGCACTTGAGTTAGCTAGAGTAAATTAGCGAAACATTATATATCACAAATTGTTAGAATTGGTCTTGCATTTTTTTACAAATTTAACATTATCCACATTTTGGAAAACGATAAACTCCCCAATAACAGAAAAAAAAAAAAAAAAAAGACGAACCTGTTTAGCTAGCATAGAAGAATGGGCTTTACTTTCCAAAATATTATGCTTAAACAACTGTTTATCAAACGAGATAGACTACGTGAACTTCTCAACAATCTCCGTCACACTCTCTTCGAATCGCCCACCCCATAGCTTTGTCTCCTTTGGTTTAGTCTCGGGTTCAGATGACGGGCTCATGGTGCACTGTAATGGCTCAAATCTTGGCTTGACTCTCAGCAGCAATTGGAATATGGGTCTTGGGTTGGGCATGGATGGATCGGAGACGAAGGTTGATAGGCAGGAGAAAATTGGGGTTGGCGAAGAAGAAAAAAATAATGACTCCATTATAGAACAGTCGAAGAAAAAGAGAAATTCTAGTGCCCTGCGTTACGTTGGGCACTTCTAGCAGCAGGGTTTTTGGTGTTCTTTTTTCCAAGGCGGTCAACTGTGTCGGCTCGACGTGTCATAGGCTTGGTTTGGGACAGGTTGGGTTTTGTTTTGGGCTGATAGGCTTGATACATTGGGTTTAGGGTTGTAAGAGAACCATATGAAAATTGGAAAGAGAAATTGAAAAGCCATGAAAGTCCAGATAACAAATTAGAGCAACCAAACCAAGCCATGAAATTACAAATTTATAAAGAACTAATATTCTATATTTTGGAATTTAATGTTAAGACAAGTTAAATCTTTTTAAAACCTATAAAGAACTAACATTCTATATCTTTGGAATTTATATTTGTTTTTAATTCTTTTTAAATTACAAATACAAATAGTTCTTGCAATATTTTTCTAAAAATTCAGTTTGAAAAGTTTAAGAAAGAAATTATGATGAGTTTAAGAGAAAACTATTCAAATGAATTGATTTCCCCGGCTTTTTATCTCAAATTTGATGAGATTTTCATTTGATTTCCATTCATCTACAGAGAGATTCAGCAAAATAAAAAGAATCACAGAGATTTTTTATTTTATCAACTGACTGAAATTCATTGCTACTCCCTTGTCTTTTGGCCTTTTTTTTTTTTTTGTCAAGAAAAGGGTTCTTGCATAGATTAACAAACCGTACGATACATCAACGTCCCATTAGTCTCAACTAATAAAATGGGGTTAATACAAGTAGGGGGATCTGGGAAGACTTCAAAATAGATAGTACTAGGGTTATACAACTCCATCAGGGGATTTACAATAGTACCCCTCCTAACAAGGGCGTCCCCACTACCATTTCCTTTTAAGGAAAATATGTTTCACCATGGTCTGTTGGAAACTCATCAACAACATCCTGCAATCACAGATAAGTGCATTGAGAAAGATGTTGCCATAGTCATTGTTGTTTAAAAGGTTAATCACCATCAAAGTATCCAGCTCCACAATATGATTAAGAACTCCCGCATTTTTGGCAATAGTTAAACCATCCCTGAGTGCCTATTATTCTGCCTCCACACTGGTAGCCCTCGGTAGGTGTTGAGAGAATACTGTTATCCATCGTCCTGTTTGATCATGAAGAATAGCCCCAGCTCCATTCTTGCCCAGGTTTCCTAATGACGAGCCATTGGTGTTAAGTTTATGCCATCTATTTAAGGGGGCTCCCATTTGACACCAATGAAAACCGAAAGGGGGATTCTCGTGGTCTTTCCTACTATAGCCTGGAATTCACAAGCACGTTCAATGGCTTTAGACACCACCCTTGAGGTATTAGACTTACCCTCGAAAAGAAGTTTGTTTCGAGCTTTTCGAGTTTCACATGGGAGGAAAGTGAACATAACCTTCCAAGGCAGGTTGTGAATGTTGCTGATATAGTTGGATGTGGGGTTTATAGACACCCTCTGTTTCGAATTCACCAGGTGTTACCGGTTTTTGGGGCCAAGGCCTGATTTCGAATTCTTCGGCCTAAGGCCCAAGATAAAGCCCATTTGAAGGGCCCATTTTCATTTATTTGACTATATTTATTTGTTTTGTAATAATAATAATAATTAAATATTAAATAAAATACTAGATAATTTTTTTTTAAAAAAAAAGAAAGCACGATGCAGTGCACAGCCACCGCACCTGCCCCTACCTCCCCTGAAACACCTATCCCGGCATCAAGCCACTAGCATGCCAACCAACTACCGCCCGCAAATCACATCGAGAAATGTGAGATTGACTCTCCAAGCCAGCTATATAATTCGGGCCTCCAAACCACCAAAAAATTAAAAAAAAAAAAA